GGAGGCTGAGGGCGGGTGGGGGTGCTGTGACCCCTCCAGCCCCTCCTGGGCCTCAGGCCACCCTTTCCCCGTCCCACACGTTCCCTACCCGCTGGGCAAGTGCACACCACGGTGCAGAGCCTCAGCCAGCCCACCTGGCCCTGGCCTCTGGGTCTCGGCCCCCGAGCTCTGATGGGAGGAATTAAGAGTCGATTTTTGTCAAGAAATTGTTTCTAATTTGCCCATTGACTAATGGCCCAGGGAACAATGGAGACAGCCCAGCTCCGGGCTGCTCTGGGCCCAAGCAGGGCGTGTGGTTGGAGCGGTGACTAATTCACGATTTTATGTAACCCGCCTGACACCCCCTCCCCGTGTGAAACACTGATTATTTCAGGGTTCCAGGTGGCAGGAGCAGAGGCACCTCGATCTGCCGCCACTCTCAGGGCACAGGGTGTGGGCCCCAGGGCTGGGGAGAGGTCCAGGGGGGACAAGGGCCCCCAGGCTGTGCACGGAAAGGCAGGTTCTCTGGAGAGCTGGTGTGTGGTTGGGTGTGCATGTATGTGTTGTGCACGTGTTTGAGCATGTGCATGCATGTTTGATGTGTGCTCACAAATGAGACTGCACGCGAGTATCATACGTGTGCGCGAGCACTGTGTGCGCACCCAGGTGTCAGGGCACAGTGGGCTGCACGGGGCAGCCGCTGTCTGCTCCTCAGACCAGGGGTGGGTGTGCAGCGCCGTGGGGGTGGGAGAGCGCCCCTGGCTGCATTCCAGGCTGGCCCTGCGGGCTGGCCCGAGGGGAGCCCATCCACTTGTGCAACCCCAGGCGATGGGATTGCAGAGCCCTGGACAGCCCCGCTCGGTCAGCCCCGACCCGCGTGCTGTCCCCCCGTCTCCTCGGCCTCTCCCTTCCCCGTGGAAGGAGAGCCTGCAGCTCCCCACACCGTGTTTCTCAGAAATTAAAAACGTTTGTCGGCTCAGGACAGCAGGGAGAGTGAGAGGCGGCCCGGAGGTTTCCTGGGGCGGGTGGTGCGCTGAGCCAGACATGCCCGCGGCCGCCTGCTTCCCGTCTTCGCGGGGAACACGGGAGCTTATTTTGGTACCACGGGAGCTGCTGAGCGCCGCCCGCCTGGGCAGCTGCCAGCCCCTGCGCATCCAGCAGGCCCATCGGCAGCTATTGCTGTAACAACTGTTTTGAAACAGCACTTGAAAAAAAAGAAAAGGCCCGCTAGATCTGCTGTGAGGGACGCTGGGGGAGAAGGGAGAGGAGGCTGCAGGCAGGGAGCTGTGGCCTGGCCAGGCCCATGCACCCCCGGCAGCCAGGCCCACCCCTCGCAGCAGCTTCTCTCTGATGCCAGGCAGGAGGTCAGGGGACAGGACCCAGGGTTTCTGGGAGCCAGTTCTCACCCCCAAATCAGGAATCGGGTGAGGGATGCCAGCAGCGGAGCTGGTGTGGGGGGAAGGACGGCCTGACCCCTGATGTCTGCAGCCCCATCTCCCGAGGAGGCCGGGGTGGGCCATCAGCCAGGCTCCAAGACCCGCAGGCAACCTTCTAGGGGAGGGGGGTGTTGGGGCAGGATTTGGGGTCCTGGGGTGGGGCTTACCAGAACGGCGCCACACCCCACACACTGGTAGCGTGGGGGCTGGAGGACCCCGCCCCTCCCCCACGGCTGGGCTGAGGCTGGA